GGGCCACCGGTGGTACAAGCCGCCCGATGAGACAGTCTAGTGCGGGCCACCGGTGGTACGCGCCTGCGTGAACGTGTTAAGCTCCAAGCCTTATGCTTGGCGACTTTTTTTAGGTGTTGTCTTAGTCGCAGTAGCTTCAGTCGAATTTTCGAAAAATTTGTATTACAGTAAATTAGTTACTTTAAAAAAAAAAAGAAAAAAAAAACAAACAAATATTTATGAATCACAAACTTCTATCTAACTCGTAAATATGATTTTCTCTCTTATTGTCAGTTGATTAAATTCGATCTAAAAACTCGAATCTATGAATTTATGGATCAACTTGAATCTAAATTGAATCATAGATCCCTATAGGGGTCAACTCGATCTAACATTGGTTTATGAATCTATGGATCACAACTCGATCTTAAGTTGAAAAAGTCATGGATATATAAATCAATAGTATCTTATTTGAAATCTACGGATCAATTTAATCTAACTTTAATCTATGGATCTATGAATCAGACTTTATCTAAAACTATAATCAATAGATCTATGGATTAATTGTATCCTAAACGCGAATGTATATTTCAATGAATCTAATTCGAATACTAACTTTAATCTATGTATTTATGAATCGACTTATAATAGTCTTAACTCGAATCTATATAAATCTATGAATCAGCTTAATATAATTATTATTCTTAAAAATAAAAAAAAATAAAAATAAAAAAAAAAAAAGGAACAATAAACATTTACAGCATGAAATAATACATTAATACATTTTACGATTGTAAAAATATAAATAAAAATAAAATACAGTTTCCAAGTAACAAAGATATAAATGAGTTAACTCGTTTGACTGTTAAAGGCGTATATATACGCTCTCACAAATCCATCAATATACACGAGAGACGTAAATGTACATACATAGGCCCTCTGTATTTTGTTTACTATAACACCTTTATATTGCTGTATTACCGATTAATTTAACATGAAATTTTATGTAATATGTAATATAGCAACTAAATAATTGACAATTATTTCAATGACGTTTTAATTCATTGCATTTTATATTTGAAATTTGTCGTTTATTTGAATTTGATTATCTTTTATTCGTTCATTATATCGTTTTATTATTTTTATAATTAGGGTTAGAAAATTATTCAAATATTCTGGTTAAACTTATTATTATAACCTCTGTGTTACATTATAAATTTTTGTATTTTTTTCTATGATATTTATAATTACCGATTATTATTTGAAGGAATGCACAAAATAAATAAAGTCAATTAAAATAGGTTAAAAAATTACTTAAAAAAAAAAAAAAAAATTCATATTTTTAATTTATTTGCCATTAATATTATTTGTTTTGGTCAGAGTAGTAGTCAATGGAAAAACATTCACAGCAGCAGCAGCAGCAGCGATTGACATGCGAAAATTGCGCCGCAGTCAAAGGGTTTAAGGTAAAGAGAGAAAGAGACATAATTATTTAAAAAAAAAAAAAAAATAAACAAAAAAAAAAACAATATTTGTCATTTCATGTGTCGTTTCTTTCGATAAAATTTTTATCATCGTCGTTGAACTTTGTTATTAATTATTTTTCTTACATCGTTTCTCTCTCTCTCTCTCTCTCTCTCTCTATCTTTTTTTTCTTCTTCCTTAGTCGTTTTTCTAAATTAATGTTTTTAAAGGAGTAAGGTATTTTTTCTTTTTGTCGAGTAGAAAGAAACGTAAAGCTTAAAGAACGGGAGACGAGTAATTTCCGTCCGGGAAAGATCAAAGTCGCTAAGCTTGAGCAAGCCAAGCAAGCAAGCAGCGAGCAAGGAAGTCTCGATTAGGCGCGGCGTTGATGGTTGTGTGTGTGTGTGTTGTGTGTGTGTTGTGTGTGTGTGTTCGTGCCTCGACGACTTTTAAAAGACCTACTCTTCTAGAAGTTAACTTAGTGATCTAGAATTATGGTGTGTACCTTCTTCATATCTCTACTTATTCAACTAATTGTAACTTCCATTCAATCTACATTTGATTAATTTTATTTTATATTAGCGTTTTTAAAATTTCTTCAATTATTCTATGTGTCAATGATTTTTAACAAAGAAAACAAAAGTTATGAATTAATTGTTCAATCTCTTATTACTGAGGAGAATTATTCGATTTTCCTTCATAATTTTGTCCTTTTGAAACAAACCGTTAAATAGAAAGGAAACGAGAGAGAAAGAGAGAGAGATAGAAATAAATGGCAGCATTGGAAAATAATTGCATAGAAAAATTTGTAACGATGAATATTTTTAATATTTAATAAACTCATCTTAAAATGGATCAATTTAATTGGTCTTTGAAATGAAAGAAATGAATCGATTTTATCAATTATTGATTTAAACAACTTAATTAAACCACCACCCTCGTATTTTATTTACGTTTAGTATACTATTAGAATTAATATATTAATATATATTTATAAGTTAAATTATATTTTCTATTCTATTGGATTTTCCAAAAAAAAAAAAAAAATGTCGTGTCGTCGATTTATATTAGCTGTTTTAACCTAAATCTAAAAAAGAACCACTTTACATCCTTCGTACGAGTTATCGATTTACCAAAACTATCGAAAACATTATAACGTGCCTATAAGAAAAAACATCTTTCGCATTCCTGTGCATGCTTTTCGCATTTTCGAATAAAAAAAAAAAAGATCGACACGAACTTTCCGACAGAGCCAATACTACTACTACTACTACTATGGGCACGTTGTTCGTGTGAATGGGAACGTTCGAGTGAGGGAGTGAGTGAGAGAGCTTTGAAGGAAAAGGAAAAGGAAAACGGAAAACGGAAGAGGGTGGTTAAAAGAGGGGTATGGGATGGTGGAGGGTAAGGATAAAAGGCGTGGCAAGGAGAGGTATCTATGTTTCGTGCGTCTAGGCAATGATATACGACCGGAAGGAAGCCAGAAGGCGTTTCCATGAAAAGTAGAGGCAAACCGGAAGACCGAAAGACGGGATGTGGTTGGCGAGTAAGTGCCTCTGTATGTATTTCTGTATACGTCTGTTTTGCCCTGTTCCGGTATTATTTCTCTCTCTCTCTCTCTCTTTCTCTCTCTCTCTCTCTCTCTTTTTCTTATTCGTTCGCATTTCTTCGAGCAAGCAAGCAAGTAAGCAAGTAAGCAGACAGCTGGTTACGATGCTATCGCGGAAAGAGTCTAACGAAGAGGAGAACGAGAAGGTAGTAGAGTAACGCGACCGGATATGAGGTTTCCAATGTCGTATGGATCGTTTTTCTCCAGCTTGCAATTAATTTAACCAGCGACAAGCAGCAACAACGATATCGATCCGATATACCAAAACGATTTTCTTTCAATTTCTATGATGACGTGTAATTCGTCAGATGAATGATGATATCATCGTTTATTATTTCTTACCATATTCATTTCTTTCTTTTTCTTTTCATGTTCTTTACTTTTATTTCTATTTATTTTCTTTGTCATTACAATTTGGACAAATAACTATAATACATACGACGACGACAAACG